TCTTCATCCTGCGCCTGGCCGAGGACGGGCCCGCCCTCAAGGACGGCAGGATTCACGTGAGTCAGCTGCTCTCTTCCCCTTCTGGCTTTGGCTCCAGGCTGGAAACTTCTGAAAATAGTGATGAAAGGGAGTGAGGCGGCTCTGGCATCTAAGCAGCAAGGCCTTGCGTCGCTGAGACCCGAGAGGCCGGCACTGCCAGTTCCTTTCTAACCCTCAGGTCTCTGGTCTGTATTGTGTTCTGTGCCGTCGTTCCAGTGTCTTCAGCACCCGATGTGGTGCCTTGAATATTCAGAGCAGGCGCTCTGTGGGTGTTCGCTGGAAGAACAGAATAGACGATGATGCTTCTAGCTAATGAATTGTTTTTAATATTTAAGATGAGCTCCCAGAACTTATCAGTGGGTAGGCAGGACTTGGGCTATAGGAGGCAATTAGCAAGCAATGTAATTGACTAAAACAAGAAAGTGTTAACTCGCGATAGATGGGAAGGTGTTGTCATTGAGAGGATCTGTCACGTCAGTGATCTTGGGCTGATCCTCCAATCTGCTTAAAACTGAGAGGGGGAAATGAGGCCCTGAGCAAAGCTAATGCGGAATCAGCTGCGTGGAAAAGACCCATCTTGAGGAGCATCAGACGTCAGTATTTAACGTGGAACAGTCAGGCTTGGAAAACATCAGGAGTGCGCCCGCCCTCTTCCAGGCAACGCGTTCTCACGTATGTTAGTGTTGGTCCCGCAGAAACTTAGATTTAAACCGAGGCTCGGGGAGACTGCCACTTGCTGGGTGCACACAGCCAGTGGCAGCCGTGGTGTGACCCAGGGCTGTAGCCCTCTGAAGTGTGTGTGCTTTTCTGGTCAGGCTCCGCTGTGTCCACTGGCATCTGATTCTTTAGGGAGGCATGTGGGCTCTGCACATGTTACGAGGTAATGTGAACAATGTGTTGGAAATACTATTTTATAATTGTAACATGTTTAGTGGATGTTTTTAAAACTGTGAGACTGCCTTAAAGGTGGTGTTTAAAAAGGAGCCTAATTTCTCTCTGTCCCTTCAGTTCTCCTAGTCTCATGTTTCCCTCCATCTCTCTCCTCTCTTCTGTCCCCCAGTTTTGTTTTTCAGTTATACAAACCTAAATGTGAATTTGTTCTGTTTACCGAAAGATGTATTCCCTATTTTTTTTATTATCAAAGAAAGTCTCCATTTCCCTCAGAGGTGCCGTTTTCTGTCTTAGGCCCTGTGCTGGTCTATACAAAGCTAATCTGCCACAAATCTTAAAGCCCTGGCTCGCTCATCCCCCAATTTAGCTTTAAACAAAAATGACACCTGGTGGCAAATTGTTCAATTGCAAGTTTTATTATAATTTATTTTGCTAAAGCAATAAGAAATATGCAGGTTTGGACGGTGAATCTAAGCCAGAGTGTGATTGAAATTGTAACATCATGTTTTACAAAATATACCAAAAGCATGCTTCAAATACTTTCTTTTCTCTAATCAGCAGGATTATATATCTAGTGCTAATTTGTCATCTATATTTCCCCATGAAAATTTTTCTTCAGTTGCTTATTAAAGGAAATCTGGGTATTGAGTTTTGTTTCACTTCTATATTCTGGATATAAAGACTTTTTAAAAATCAATGTTTATTACTTTTCTCCATTCTGTTATCTTACTTTGGTGGTTTTTATAGATTCCTTTTCCATTTTGTATGTTAAATCCATTGATCTTATTTCTGATAGCCACCATTTCTTCATTTTTTTTCATAAGTATGCAACACAGTGCGCCCGAGCCCCTGTGCTCTGTGGTGGACACAGTGGGCCCACCAACCTTCACTGAATAGTTATCGAGTCCTATTTTGCTGTTACTTCTGGATGGTTTTAGCTCTCAACAAATATTTGAATTGCTTTTTGGAATTTCAGTAATTTTCCATTGTTCAGTTTTGTTTTGAAGCCAGTACCCTTCAGTTGCTTGTCACCTTGAAATGTATTTTCAAATCTGGAATAAAATCACTATCTTTAATCAGGCCCTTTGCAGAAGTTCTACTTGACTCATGCATATTTTTCCTTTAAATAACAGGTAACATTTCTAAAAAGTATCAGTGGTGCTGAGCCGTCTTAGTCTAATCCCTCCTTTTTTAATGTTTGTTTTTTTTACACTAAAGTAACAAAGTATGAGCCAGTTATTGGACTTAAATAAGTATTCATATTTTTTCAGAGCGCTAATCTATGACTATTTCATTTGGTTCTTGATTTCAAGATGCCCAAATCCCTCTTACTAGTCCTATAAAACTCTCCCATTGGGGATTTTTATACAATAAATAAAACTAAACATTTTCTATTCCTATTGCTCCCATCTGTCCACTCCCCACCCTCTAGCACTGTGTACAGGTTAAATATTTTATAAAGGAAAGAGGCGCTGGGCAAGGTGAGCTGCTCTAGAGGTGACAGAAGCAAAGCTGACGAAAGATGCGTAGCTTCCTATTGTTCCGTCTAGGTTGGTGACCAGATTGTTGAAATCAATGGAGAACCTACACAAGGCATCACCCATACGCGCGCCATCGAGCTCATTCAGGCCGGTGGGAATAAAGTGCTCCTGCTCTTGAGGCCGGGGACGGGCCTGATCCCTGACCACGGTAAGTAAGGCGGCGCACCTGCGGCTGGAAAGTTGCTGACTGTTAGGGAGGGGGCAGTGGGAGGCAAAGGACACCTATTTGGAGGGGCTGTTTTACTCAGTCAGCGGTGAACACCAGACTCATCTAAAGCTAGTTACACAGCATAGTCCTTACCAAATAAGTGGCTCTAGGCAGGCCTTATGCTGGAATGGAATGTTAAGCTAATTTCAACAGAAAAGAGATAGACGTGCCTGTAAAAAACAAGGACATTAGAGGCATGTGGTTTAAATGGCATGAAAAATCTTGGCAGTCTCTTCAGATGTTGTGCATTTCATAGCGTGAGAACAGCTCCTCTAATGAGCAGCACGAGAACTTGAGACTCGTAGGGTCACTGGTCAGAAACAGGCCGCTCGTCCTGCCTGGGGAGAAGGCGGTGCCTTGTCTGTACTGATCTTAGACTTGCTTGGTCCCACTGTGTTCCTGAAATACCACAGCGTTGGGCGCTACTGTTTCTAAATGGCGTGTGCTGGTCTGGAAGCGAGGCCCCCACTGAGAGCCCCCCGGGGCAGTGTGGCCAGGGCCTCCCGCAGCCCCCAGCCTGCGGCCCTCTGACTGTTGCCTTCCCCCTGCTGTAAACCGCGCCCAGATGCCCTTGCTAACCGCACTGTGCCGTGTCCACACAGTCCTAGGCGTTTTCTCTTCCTCCTTCAGGTTTGGCTCCCTCCGGTCTGTGCTCCTACGTGACACCTGAGCAGCATTAAGGCTTTCAGGGCTTTTCTTGGTCTTTCCTTAAAAAGACTTGGTAAATCTGCATGTCTTGTCGATCCCTTCCCTCCGTTTTCTTTTTAATTGAAAATGATGCTGTTAAATACATCTCATTCTATCTTCTGCACTTTTCAGTTTCCCTTTGACGTTAAGTTTGACAGCTTAATGCAGGAAACTTACAAATGCCCACGAGCCACACTTTGGTCTCCCTTGTTAGTGATCTGGTGTATCCTTAAGCTATACTCACTGATAAGAGCTAAGCTAGTTAGCTTCTTGGACCAGGCAATTTGGTCTAATTTTAAGTTTTTTATCGGGCTTTACTACTTATAAAGAATTTACACATCATATATTACCTCACTAATTATACATAAGTAATTGGAAATATTCTATTTAAACAGCCCACCCTTGATGTACAAATAAAGCTGTCCATGTACAGCTGCCTTTATAGAGAAACCTGAACATAGAAACTATAAGATGCTCCTAATTAAACAGTACAGTTCAAATAAGTCCAAGTTCAAAACTGACTGCTCCTCACAATTCTAAAGTTTAACTGCTCCATTCGCATCCCTCTCCGTAGGCGACTGGGACGTCCCTCATCCTTCATCTTCCAACGTGATTTATGACGAACAGTCCCCACTGGCCCCACCTTCCCGCTCCGCTTTCACGTTTGAAGAGCCGCCGGTGCCAGCAGCTGCAGACTCTCTGACGAGAGCGCAGAGGTGGGAGAAGGCGGGAGGACTCAGGGACGCTACGTCCGAGAAGAAAAGCACTTTCAACCAGTCTGACCTGAAGCTTCAGCCTCCGCTCCAGAAAAATGTGAGTAAGAGGGACCCACCCACCAGTCATGGGCACAGGGACAAGAAAAACCTCTTAAAGGTAGAAAACGGTGTCACCCAAAGAGACAGGTCTGCTAGTCCCAGAAAGTCAGCCAGTCGCTATGGAGAGGAACGTTCTGAAAAGATCCCCAGTCCCCTCAAAAGCGACCCCAAGAGAAGACCCAGGGATCGGTCGCCCAGCCCCAGGAAAGGGGAGCGTGAAAGTGGTCAGAGCAGCGCCAGGTCGGCTGCCGGACAGGACCCGGCCCGAAGGGGCAGAGGGCGCTCGTCGAGCCCAAAGCGGCCGGGGGGCAACGGGGAGCGACCCGGTGCCGGAGCCCAGCTACCCGAGAGCGAGCGAGAGAAACCGGGTGGCGCCTGGAGAGAGACGCAGCAGAGTCAGCCTGGGAAAAACAGAACCGCGTCCCCCGAGAAGCAAAGCAAGAGAACGGGCGACAAGCCGCCCCCGTCCACCAGGGCCAGTAATGTGGCAAGTCGAGCATCTGAAAGTAAAGGGAACAGGGCCCCCGCAGGAGAAACAAGTTCTAGCAAAGCTAGGACGGGGGAAAGCGTCAGAACCTCAGAAAGGAAGCTGAAGCCAGACCCCGAAGAGCGAGTTTTAAACAAAACAGAAGGCGACGAAAAAGAGCAAGAAGCAGCCGACAAGGGCCGAGGGGGCAGTGGGCCCAGGCCCGAGCCCGGCTCTCCGGCCAGGAAGACGCCCATCACTCCTGGGCCCTGGAAGGTGCCAAGTGCCGGCAAAGCCACGGGCACGACTAGTGTGGCCGAGAAACGGCTGTGACCTTCAGCATAAAACAAAAACAAGTTGTAATCTTTCTTTACTATAAAAAGCAGCGTTTTCCCCAAAAGTCATTTTCTCAGAAATCCTGAAACACAAGTACGTACGTTTTGATTTGGCCGTCAAGTTACCTAGGCCGCATGCAGGGCCTTCGGGTCTGCTAAGGAGCCACCATCCCCTGGCTGGCCGCCCTCTGCGCTCATCCGACACGCCCGCTCGTCCTCATGGTGTCCGAACCGACAACGTCCGCTGATACTAACCACGTGGTCACAACTCACTTTATATCTTCGCCAAGTTCTCTACTGTATCACGTGGAGTTTATCCCCGCGGGCACTTCCACAGCAGACAAAACGAGGGTGGCTTGGAAGTCGATATCCTTGATAGCATGTTGCATGTTTACAGAGAGGACTATTTGAGTCCCTGCAGAAGACTTAACTCATCCGTAAAGGTGGAAGTTGCCTCTTCTGACAGTGACAGATGACGTCCCAGTTTAAAATTACGACTCAGATGTCACTACTGTAAAGGAAACAAATGTGGTCAAGTGCTGACAGTCTTAGGTTTTTGTATTGCATTCAGCTGGGTACGGTATTCCAAATAACAGAAGATGTTACAACCGAATGCTCAAAAGGCGAGGCCTTGTACTTTAAGCCCTGAAGAGTTCACCCCCTGCTGTCACCTGACCGCAAGACAGCCCCTCATGTGGAAACAGTGCCTGTTGCTATTTGGAGGAAACTACCAAATCTATATTTCTGGCTATTTTGGTTGTACCTCCTAAGTCATTAGTATTCAGATTGTGAGAGGGACTTAACCCTGTAACTAGTTTCACAGTCTGCTGCTAGCCGAAGTCCCAGCGTGTCTGGTAGCAGCTGGACGAGTCCAGGTTTAGAAGCAGGACCTGTAGGACCCGCTCGGCAGGTTAGGACAAAACAGGTGACGGTACTCGGTAGGTCTTACTTTAGCTATATTAACTTTCTTGTTGAAAAGCAAGAAAGGGAGCCCAAACATCCGCTTAGCTTGTGCAGGTTCTCAGAGCTCTTTTTTCAAGTCTAATGAAAGATGTTTGTTGGAAGGTGGAGACAGTTTTCAACTCCACAAAACAGAGCAGGTTTCTCGGTCCCCTGAGGCAGCACTCAGTAGCATCTAGAAATCGGGGAACATCTCAGAATAAAACCTTGGGTGGAGGATTTGAACTCACTGTCCTGTCACCTGGGTTAATCTTGTGAAACATTATGTCCAGGCCCCTCCCTCTCACAGCCTGACTGAAACTTTCCTGGAACCGAATCAGCCCCTGTAGTGAGAGATGCTCAGAGGGAGACTGTTGAAAGCCCTTTAACCAGACCCTCACCTACCCACCTGTTGTAACTACTTCAATAGAGCAAAATTAGAAGGCCTGATAAATGCTAAGAGTTTAGTACCACAGAAATGATTTATTTTCCCTCTAGTCCACAATTAGTGATAAAAAGTCCTATTTTTATTGTTAACTGTGACATAACCTGGGTGTCATATGTTGTCAGTCCGATGTGGCCCTTTCCTTCCTAAGTAACTTGTCACTGTATTGATTATATGCTGACTTAGCAATGTGGCCTTGGAATGCTGAGCAAAATATGGACGTACTGGTTGTAAATGTTTATATATTGTACAGTACCTTTATATATACACCTGAGGCTCTGATTAGAGAAAGAGATCTGTAAATCGCTCGTTATTTTTTATATAGATATTAAAAAAACAAAAAACAATTCATGGCCTGCATTTATTTTACTGTTAGGCTTTCTATTTGTGGAGCTGATTCTCATCGTAGTCTGAGTCAAAGAGGTTTTGTCCCTCCAAGTAACAAACACTCACAGTCCTACAATCAAGAAAACTCTTGCTCACCTATATAGCCATAGACATACTCAAACCAATTCCAAGCTTAATATTATGCCTATTTTATACCTTTCATTGTAAAGAAAACAGCTTTGCATAACTAATTTACTGCCCGAAAAAACCCTTTCTCATACTCTCAGGGAGAAAGAAGGGCTTGTCTTACTGGAAATTCACTACCTCTAGTCTGTAATATAAGCCCAGTTACCACAAGGTCACAAAACTCTTATTTTCATCAGACTATGAAGTTGCACATTATTTTTAAGTCATTCATAGGTGACACTTACTTTAGAATGAAGTGTTCTGACTTGATTTCATTTAATCCTTGGTATGAATATGCCAAGGACTAAATGAAAACCTATTTCAAGACATGGTTAACTTAATACCCTTAAGGGGAAAAATAAATTCCTACCATTGCATGAACTCAGCACTAAGAATGAAGCCCAAGCGCCACAATGGAGTGTGTGTCATAGCACAGGCTCCAGAAAGTGGCCACAAAATAGTTTTGTTGTTATTTTAGTGCATATTCTTCCTGATCATGAGAGCAAAAAAAGTTCTGGGATGCTACTACATTGTCTCACTAGAAAGACTAGACTCAGCTCTTACATTATCTTCTCTAACCTACTTACATCAAATGTTACAGATCAGGTAGCTTTGGGACAGAGTCAACTATTTTAGAAGTCCTGCACGTAGAAAGACAGTTGGCTGTTTATTTCTACCTGAGACTATCTTGGTTACTTCCTATTTAATAGTACGATATTCTCATGTAGAAATATTCTCATGTAGAAAAAGCCAAATGCTTTTAACCATGTGGATACATAGGTTTTATGTGTAATAGGCCCAACATTCAAAGAAAGCCAGGAGTATTCAGTTTAGTTTAGTGACAATCTGACTAATGACTTCCACAGAGATGTGTTTAGCAGAAGCTAGGTCCACAGTGTTCAGTGATCACAGACCGTGGTATAAACACAGACTCCAGCCACAAAACACAATGTTTCAATCTGAAACAAACATTTGAAGAATACATGAGAACAACTTTTTACATCACCATGGCATGCTCCCATGCCTAAGAACTATCTGTGTTTTTAAACAATAAGATGTATTTATTTAGGCAGTTCTCTACTGGTCATGCTATTAAGGATTATCAGCAATACAATGACTTGTATAGATCATGCCAAAATTACTTGAAATCTGTCACCTCTGCTTTAGTTGACTGAATTGGTTTAAGATATTCCACTAACTTGGATCTGTTTTTGATGTTGATATACAAAGAGAACCTTAAGAAGTATAAGAAGGGAATATGAAGGTTTATGTAGAATGGAATTCTGTCTACTGGAGACAGCTCTGAATCTTTCTCACACGTTAAAAGACAAAAACATAGCCAGGTGCCTTAATTTAGCCTAATCCTGTAGAGACCCATGGGAGTCTGTCTGTCTTATAGTGCTTCCATCAACGTCAAGCAGAACTAGTAGCAGATACACAAATCAAGAGGCATATTATGTCCTTAATAAACAGTAACCATCTGTTACCTTGAGTAATTCCTTCTCACAGCTGACAGGCCCAGGACGTGCTGCAGGAGAGCAGGGGAGGTATTTCACGTTTGTGAAACTCAAACTTCACTATTCAAATGCGAACCAGTAACTGCAAAGAGCAAAGGATTACTTTAAAAGACTAAACTAGTCAATACCTGTTTAGAGGAGATTATGTTTAGTAAACTTTCTTCTTGATAATCCCAAATCATACATTATATTTGAAAGTGAGGCCCATTTGGTCCATTATGAGTATGCAGATCTAAAAACTTTCAAAACTGAATTTCATTAATTTGAAAGGTTATTTTTGCAGTGCATAAGTCTACTTACCTCTAAATGCAGTTAACCAAAACTAAAAACATAGATCCGTCAGCTTGTACTTTGTGAGACACACTGGAATTGAGAATTTTCCTACATGTCTGAAAGTCAAGAAAACCACACGCCCATTAGGCAAGTATCTGCTTCTTCAGCTATTTAAAGTGTTCAGTTTATATGATTCATGGGCCACAACTGACATGGTCAGGAAGTCTGAGGTTAAACCTCCACAGCAGTTTTAGGGGGGATGTTTTCCCAATGCAACAAATTATAAAATTAAGTGAATGGGTATTATTCTTGTCCTCTGGTTATTACTGTTCCAAATCAATGTATGAATAGCCTGCTCTTATATTTTGGTTTCATTTCTCAGTAACAGCTCAGTATTATCAGAGTATACTGTATGTTACATCACTCCTTTTGGGGATCAAAACAAAAGACCAAGCCCCTAGAAATCATTAAACAGATACAAAGCACCGAGCATAGCAGAATCCTGAAGTTAAACTCATCCATCCTTGAAGAAGAAATAATTGTATGAATGGTAAATTACTCGAGGTCTACTTGCATTTATTCTACAGATTTATACTGAGTACCTATTGCAGGGTCAGGTACCTACTGTTCTGAGTTCTGGAGACTTAGAAGGGAACAAAAGTCCCTGCCTGAAGGACTTACATTCTAGTGGGGAAGAGCAGAAATAAGTTTTAAAAAACAAAGGATGCTGACTTACACTAGGGCGGTAGAAGTGGGGTTACAAAAGAGTGGACTGATTAGAAAAATCTACCAAATAATTGTTCAAAGGCTTGGTGACTGGATGTGAGGCATAAATGAGCTAAGGATGATTCCCAAGTTGCTGGTTGAGCAACCACATACAGGGTGGGGTAAAAGTAGGTTTATGGGTGTGAGGACCTGAAACACAGTTTATTCCTGTACTAATACTTATTATTATATTATTTTCCATACAAACAACTATAATTCTATTTCTGCCCCACCCTGTCTAATTTTAACCACCTGAAAACTTAAACCAATTATACGCCATCAAAATTGTAACAGAAACAACACACAAGGGTAGACTATTCTAAATACTGCATTTCAACCAGAGAATTTAGTCTCAGTAGAAATTGCAAATAAAAAGCAGAGCAGCATCTTTTGTAGGAGGAAAAAGGCATCTGTCTTTGTCTGAAATCTGCACTGAGCCTTGGATTTGAGACCACTGCTGCTGTTCCTTATGGAAAACAGTACAAGCAAGATTTCTCGGAGCCACCTGTTGAGACGCTGAAGTGCCTTTACAGAAGTTCCTTCTCAAGGCCAATCACTGTGATGAGGGTTTCCCTTTAAAATCTGTATACCTCAGGCAGCATTTAGAATGGCCGCGTATTTTTGATAACCCACTTCTAGTTCCGCAACCTCGCTTCCTGTTCCTCTCTTCACAGTTAGGAATCTATCAGTGAAAGATTTTTGAAGGGCTTTAAATGGCAGTAACAACTGTTTACTGTGGGTTTACTAAGTGCTAAGGACTTTTGGCTGTGCTAAGTACCTTACAAGATAACCTCTTTGACAGCCTATTAGGTAGGTGGCATCCCCATTTAACAGCTAAGGAAACATACAAAGAGGTTAAGTAACTTGCCCCAGATTATGAAGCTCATAAGCGGCAGAACCGAGGGTATGAACCAGAAATGTCTAATCCCAATCCCTGGTCTCTTGAGAAATTCATCTTTAAACCTCAAAAACCTTCCTGCGTGCCAGGGTATGTGGAACACTGATTTTGCATGAACACAGGCAGATACTGTGTTCATGCAAAAAGATTCATCATCTTTTTGCTGGTGGAGGGCTTTGCCTTCAATTTGCAAAAAAAGCAACATCTGTGAGATGCAATAAAGCCAAGTGCAATAAAATGAGGTCTGCTTGTATATACTTCACACATAATAACTAAGTTTCTAACATTCAAGAATTCACAAAATCTTATTAAAATGTTCAAGTTTTCAATTTGCCTCAATAGATGCTTCAAAGCAGGTAACTCAATGACTAAGAATTATATGTAGACTAGTGGAGTTTCTACGAACACAGGTACATGCCCATGTGTGTGACAGGGGATACTGGTAGAGACTAAGTCATCAAAGCATATTTGGCTAAGTACAGACACTGAGGACCTGAAACTGCACTAAGGGCTGGATCCATATAAACCATCAGTGCTTCACTTTGTACTGTGATAGGAAACAGCTCAGACAACCGATAGGGAAACCACATGTGGTGGTCATGGATGAGCACGTCCTTAGATCTCATGCTGAATTACATGGCATATCATACGCATGACTCCTTCACCAACAACAGTTACCAAATTAACCTCAAATTTATAAACAAATTAGCCCGGCCAGGCATGGCTCAGTGGTTGAGCATCGACCTAGGATCCAGGAGATCGAGGTTCAATTCCCTGTCAGGGCACGTGCCCGGGTTGCAGGCTCCATCCCCAATGACTCTCTCATCATTGGTGTTTCTCTCTCTCTCTCCCTCTGCTGCCCTCTCCCTGAAATCAATAAAGTTTTTTTTTTTAAAGTATAAACAAATTAAACATTTATCCATAGTTTAACAGAAACTCAGTTTAAAAGGTTATTTTTCCTTCAATGACAAAAAAGCAGCCTAGAAACTGACATTCTCCAATAAAGTTCTTTTATTTGAGTTCAACCTAAAATAGTTCAAGTTTGATCTCTCTGCTAGAGAAACGAAATCTCCGGTTTTGTACGCTGGAATAGAAAGTACTGCATTTGCATATTTCCAATGAAGCATATTTGCCTCTTGTTCTGGGTACCTTGTATAGTTACCCAAAAGACCATTTCCAGTAAACATAACTGTCACAGCACTGAAATGTCCAAGATAAATGCCCTAACTTCAGAAGTGGTCCTTGTGTTACCATAACACAGTCTCTAGTCTCCTAACTATTCACATTGTTGGAAAACTGTGAAGATAAGTTTTTAGCATGCAGCCCAGTTGGAAAAGGACTGGCTCTCTCTTGAAAACACCATTCGTGAGATCAGGCAGGGCGGAGGGCACCTCTGTGTATGAACAAGTGGGTGGGGGTCTCACGGTTTCTCCGGTCATCTCTTTCCTTCATGGGGAGGTATCGATGCCAGCAAGGGGAGTGAGTCCAGGCACATGGCTCAGCTTAGGATTTAATTTTCCATAGCTAAGAAAAGAAAGTCACCAAAATAAGTTAGTTTTAAGACCAACAGGTGGGGTTTATAAGCACACTCACATGAGTAAGAACGAAGAGCCCTTTAACAAGAAGAAAAACCCTGGATGCAACCACCACAGGACACCATAGAGAAAAAACCATGAAAAGTGTCCAGGATCAAAAATCATACTGCAGTTCATGGGATCTGGGTGTTCATTCAATCCAACCGCGCACATGTCCCTAAGTCAGAGGAAGACCCTCCCTCAGCTCACACTATTAATCTGACATGAGAGTCAAGCTTGATTTTTGTGCAATTCAAGAGCAAAGGATACTGTGCTTCTTTGAAAGGGGAAAACCTAAGCTGAGAAGCCTGTGGACCACCAATCAAAATGTGTCTCTTTACTTCCAAGAGTTATTTCCATGTCAGACACACACACAGTGAAGATCAAAGATAATTATTACAAAGATTCGTTTTTAAGACTAAGGCAGATGCTAGAGTGGCCAGTACTCCTACTCACTCGTATATTAAATCCCAGAAGATCACTTATAACGCCCGAGACAGCAGAAAGGATTACTACTCGTGTGATGTTGTAGATTAAGGGATTCATTGTCAGTCCATAGAGTCGAAATGGTGTGTCCAGCTCCTACAAACACATGAAAGCACAGAGATGAGACGTGGTTTCTCAGTATCAGCAATTCTGGGCTGGGTTTAGGTCTTAGGTGAGGGTGGCTGCCTAAGGCTGTCTTCCCTTAATGTTCAGCTGTACTAGGGTCACCCACATTTCACTAGCTACGTTTTTTAAGGTGGATTCAGCAATGTTATTTGTGATTTTTTTTAAAAATGTAATTTAAGAGATGTGACAGACATCAGCAATCCTCAGAACCCAGGTAACAAATGGGAAATTTTTTCTTATATGGTCATTAACCTAAAACCATCGAGTTGGTGTTGTGAGTCTCCTCGGCCGGGCACCTGCCTGTTACTAGGCTCTTCTCCAGGAAGCAGAGCACTGACTTAATTTAAATGGTAGTAAAAGAGTGTCGTAGGATAGTACTTACTTTCAACAATTTGGTGGACAGTTTTAATACATTGTTTACTAGAGTAAGCTGTTCTTTCTTAGTTGGCTTTTTTTCCATCTTAAGATATAAGTTAATCTAAGGGAAGGAACAGAGATTAAGGTAAATGTCATAGGAAAACATAGATATACAGCATTAAATCTGGCAGATTTTAAGGATCATGTTTTCAAGTAAAATCAGTGTAAAAATTCCAGCAGCTATTTCTAAGAAGCACGTATACCACGTACCCTGGCCCCCATCCCTAATCAGTCATGTCTGGCAAAGAAAAGCCATTTAGCCTGGCCGGTGTGGCTCAGTGGTTGAACATCGACCTAGGATCCAGGAGATCACTGATTCCCAGTCAGGGCACATGCCCGGGTTGCGGGCTCAATCCCCAGTAGGGGGTGTACAGGAGGCAGCGGATCAATGATTCTCGTCATTGATGTTTCTCTCTCTCTGAAATCACTACAAATAAATAATAAATAAATAAATGTCTACCAAGCTCTAACCTTAAAAAAGAAAAGAAAGAAAAGAAAGAAAAAAAAGCAAAGCCATTTAGTGAAGAAATGATAAAGCAATTTAAATACCAAAACAATGAAAAATGTATTTTTTCCCTTATAGGAAGAATTCTCCACTATAATTCTAAGACAAAAAAATATTTTAAAAAAGAACTAATGCTATACCAAATGCTTTTATTTAAAATTTATGGATAAACATAAAACATTTTTAAATCTCATACTATGCTATATTTATAAGAAAAATTTCTCAATCTTCATAGCTATTCACATACTAACAAGCAAGTATTTTCCAAACCCTGAATGTATTCTATGTCTGAGACAAAAGTTGTTCTAGAAGTTTATTAACATACTTAAATTACAAGTACTCTAAAGATCTAACAATGAAGAATATGAGAGTACCAGTATGCTCCATTCCCACCAACAGAAAACCTTTATAGTATACAAAGTATTTCCAATCCATTAGATCTTACTTCTTACAACAATCCTGGGAGCAGGTGGGGAAAAGGCTATCCTCATTTTATAGGAAGCAAACAATTACATAGTAACAAAGTGTGATGTGTAAGGTCATATAGCTAAAAAGTGACAGGCTTTTTTTTTTTTTTGAGTCTTCTGCACAAATCTTATCATGCCATCTCTAACCACTGAAGCAAACCAGCCGGGACATATCAATACCTGTTCAGTAAGTAATATTGAAACGTTGCTGTATTTCTTATTGGTTTCAGACCCCAGTGAGGCCAGGCGCAGTAAGAAAAGTAGTAAAGCTGATTCCCAGATCAGAAACTCCCAGTTATAAGCATCATTCAGGAAAGTTTTATGTCCTTGGAGAACCTATACAAAGGACCAAAAAGAAGTAAAGTTTTTCATTTGTCTTAAAATTTGTAGTTAGTCCTTTATGACAGCTATTTAAATCATTTACAAGATAGCAATATTTTAATACTCAGAAGAGTTTTATCTCATAAAACATCTATTTAACTAGTCATTATGTATTTCTCCACATTTATTAGATTTTTTTCCTTTGCATGAAAGACAGCAAAGATCTGGAAGTAATAAAGGAGGAAACCATAATACAGTAAGTAAAATAAGACCAATGCATTTCCGGCCTCTAACCACCAGTGTGCCCACTCCCAATTACATGGTGACCATTTTTACCTTGGGCTTACAGGAATAAATTAAATTTGCTCATGGCTAATAGTGCATGGCTAGTAGTGCTCTCTAAACTGCATGGCCCACCCTACTGGGGTGACTAGAGCATCCCGAGGAATCAGTTCCTTATTCCAGTTTAGAACCTGAACAGCAGCAGCAGCCGCTACCAGTTATTAAATACCTGTTATATGTCAAGTTTTTGTTTTTTTCCAATTTTGTTGTTGTTGTTACTGATTTCAAAGTAAAGAGCTTTATTCCTGTAAGCCCAAGGTAAAATGGAATTTACTGAATATACAGAGAATGCTCACAGAGACCAAAGGTAGGCCTTTTGAAGAGGAGGAAGTCACCAAGCAGCTGCCCTCTTCCCCAGGGCCATTTGGGTTCCCATCTCCACTCCTCTTAGCAAATTCCACTGCCTTCCAAGACCCTTGTTTACTGCTCCTCCGTAATTCTGACTTGTTCCAGCTTAGTCTGTCACAGCATCCTACTGGTCCCTGTGATCCCGACTGATCCTTCTTCTCCAAAGTCCACCACTTATATCTCAGATTTTCAGTTCTGATCTCCAAAAGGGAATATATTTAGCTTAGTTGGGGTCAGATGTTCACTCCAGCCAATTACTTATGACTAGGGGAGGAAAGTAACAATGAGTAGCAACCAAGGTGCACCTCTTCAGCAGGTGATACAATTTACTGCTCAGCGAGAGATAACGAATACACAAACCACAGCCAAATCGCTATGAAACCAAACACAAAGAAAAACCCTTAAAACCAGGCAGAGAGAAAGAACATTACTTTTAAACTAGTGGCCATAAGAATAACTGACTTCTCAAGATAAAATATGGAAATCAGAAGACAACAGAATCCTACAAGTGCTGACAGTAACTGGCAACCTAGAAATCTATACCCAGTGACAATATCCTTCAAACATAAAAGTGACAAAAGACATTTTCAAACAAAAACAGAATTCACCACCACCAGATTCTTCAGGCAGAAGGAAAATAATCCAGAGAAAAACAAAGAAAGACAAGGACTAATGAAAAGCAATAGAAAGGGTAAATATGCAGGTAAATAAAAATAAATAATTGACTATAAATAACATTAATAATTACATCTTATGAGTTTAAGAAATACGTAAAATTTAAATGAAGCACACGAGTAACACAAAGTGCTGATGGAAGATTTAATAAAACTGACCATATGCTGGAAAATGAAGCTACCTCTGCATATTCAAAGGACTGAAAACCTAAGGATGTTGTCTGACCACAGCAGAATTAAGTTTAAACTTAATAAATGGGAATAAGCCTGTAACTTCTTGTAATGAAGCAAGCACAAAAGTGCAACAAAAAGAAGATACAGGAATCTGTCAAAAGGACAGAGAAGGGCCCAGCCAGCATGGCTCAGTAGCTGAGCAGTGACCTATGAACCAGGAGGTCAGGGTTCGATTCCCGGTCAGGACACACGCCCAGGTTTCCGGCTGGATCCCCAGTAGGGGGCATGCAGGAAGCAGCCGATCAATGATTCTCATCATTGTGCTTCTCTCTCTCTCCCTCTCCCTTCCTCTCTCTGAAATCAATTTAAAAAAAAAAAAAAAAAGACACAGAAGGGTCTCCCACTGGCCAAATCTGGGATGTTTTAGGCAACAAGTACAGTAATATATTACCATCCATTGGATAAAAATAAGAATAAATGAGCCCACAGTATAATAAGGAATGAATAAATAAATGAGTGGGAAAGAAAGGTCTACCTTAAAGTAACAACTAATAAACGTAGAAGAAATGATGGAGTTAGAAAATCTCTATCTTTTCCGCCATCATGGTATGACAGCTTTATCATAGATCAAAAATTACGAACTAAAATTAAATTAGAGTGATCTTGGAGTCTTAAAGGACTTCAAAATTACCTTTATTCTCAAAAGTTACAAAAGTTAGGAAAATTAACAAGTATTCAAAAGAGCAAAAGAAATTGAGGTACATTAAAAATATATGTACTTAAATGCAGTGAAGTGGTCCAAAACAGATATGGAACTCTTACCTGCGCACAACAAATGAAAGCAATCGAAAGCGTCAGTAAGAAGACCGAGGATACAACCACGTCAACTGAACGCTGCGGACCCCGTCTCTGTGGAGTGACACAGGTTCACCTGTGAGGTTGCCGTTAGGGGCAGCCACAGCTCTCACATCAGGAACAGTCTGATTTTACTACATTAATGTGTTTTTTGTTTTGTTTCTTTTTTTTCTTTTTGTCCTTCTACATTAATGTTAAACACTTATAAGAAGTTTCTGACAGAATTTTAACACCTTCAACTTTAATTAAGCACTGAAATCCATGCTGTTCTAAATTAAGGGCATGACTGATTCACTGGCGTATTTTCAGCTGGAATATTTTCCAAAAAATCAGAAAAAGATGCAATATTCAATTTATCGATCTGCCCTAGGAATTTAAATTTTCTTTTCCCTTTCTAAGCTTTTACTTACTTCCACCAGCCTGCAGGCGTATCACTCTCAAGTTGGCGTCCAGCGAGCCTACCAGCCACTGACAATCTGTCCCAGCACACAGAACTACACTGCCCATTGCTACCTGCTGCCAGAAATTCCTATGAGCATGGTTCCTGTATATTCTTCCATATGGTCTATTGTTAATCAACAAAACTCACCTTTAGAAAGGAACGCAGTGATAACCATATCTTAATGTTCTCCACCTTTTTAAGTCTGAAATGAGGTATTTCATATTTTCTAGCTTTCCTGGCAGAAGTAATATGGCTGAAGAGTTTTGCAAATAAAAATCTCTGGAGGTTGAAAACAAACATCACAAAGTGAAATGTACATATGTGTCTGTGTATTTATATGATTGTCAACAACATTCCCAGCCTACAGACATGGTTAAAAGGATGAAATTCTAATCGGCAATCACTAAGCCAGGCAGCGAAGAACGTCAACAGGTCATTCTCCCGCTGCTTCCAAAGCATGTGACAGTCACACACTTCTTCAGTGAGGCGGACATTCTCCGGAGACCTTTGTAAATCCCCAAGTTCAAAAACAAATGTTTATACAGAAGTCTGGTTTACTCCTAAATTACATTTCCATTCAAAACCCTGTTTTTTACACATATCACCAATATATTAAGTCCTCAATCCCTAACTCCTATCAAATCTCAATCATTTTAACTCTCACTTGGATGTTTTTCACAGAACCATTGTACTGTGAGGATTACTACACGTGTGACAGACAGAAAACAGCAAAGGCACATTGGGGTGCAGGTGCTAAGCAGTCAGCTAGGCTCGCTCTCTGGCTAAGCCCCTTCCTCCCACCCAGGGGCTCAGCAAAATGTCAGATGATAAGAAATCACTTGAATAATCAATATCAGAGAACAAAAATCAATGAAGTATTATATGTAAGAGCAGATGTGAGAAATTTTAATTTTCCACCAACCTGTTTATATGTTCTCTCTGCCACACACATCATGAAAAAAAACATCCACGTAAGACACAATCGTTCAAAAAAATTAATTATGGACAAAATAATAATAGGGGTAACTGGTGGTGCCCCACAAAAGAGAGTCAGGATCTCCTCGGCTGAAATGGACTTTAGCTGGTCAAGGCTCTTCTCACGGAAAAGTCGATGCAAACAAGGGAAAAACGCTAGTCCAACAGTGACAACATTGCCCAGCATCTGATAACCTCCTCCTTGCTGATACGCATTAACCTGGGAATCAATTCAGGGTGGCCATCGTTATTACATAGCTGAACGGAGTTATGTAGCAGCATTTATCAACTACTACTTAGGTGATTAAAAACTAAATCTTTAAATCTAAAAGAAGTACAAATAAAGATGATGTCCGGATTTATGACTTTAGACCTTATTAAAAATTACGCTTACACAAGATAAGGAATATTCACAGAGTATACCTGAACAACTGATCATGCTCACAAAGGTCTCTACCTTTGTAACAAAACGAAATTTACCACCCAAAGACTCTGACGCCAAAATTAAAAATACATATATTCGCATTTCAAAAGCAGAGTCAGTGTTTTGATCACTAAATTGTTCTACGAAATTGCTGCTGGTCACTAAGTAGATTTTTTGAAAGATCTGAAAACCACAATCCTTAAGTCTTACCCTGCTCATGATGATGCCGCTTATTTCTAACACAGACATATCCATCTTCTTGCACTCATTTCCTTCCCAGATGATTGCACTCACTCGATCAGAGGCAGGACTTGAGTTCTGAAGCCAGAATAAGTGGTTCTGAGGAGAAAAACAGAACCATTTCTATCCGCTGCTTTCTCTCCTCCACTGGACTTCTCCCCGTGTCCAGCTCCCAGCTCCCTCGGCCGGTGCTCCACCTCATCACTGTCGCCTCCCTCACAACTCATCACACCAGCACCCTCCTCAGTGGTGCTTGTTTGTGTCCTTTTTTCTTTGCTACGTCATTTTCTTACCAGAGAGAAGCCAAATGTCCTCTATAGCACCAGGATTCCACGCTCTCTCTAAGCATGAAGTGAGGATAAGCCTGGTGTATGCACCAGGTACTGAGGAAGTATTTTTAGGGTAGCACACTCTCCTGGGGCCAGAGGATGTCAGTTATGAGAGGTACTAAGCCTTGGATATCACATGAATAACTGAGGGGTTAGCCTTTCTCCAGTCTAATCAGGACACAGAAAAGCATAGGAAACGTAAGAAGAGACAGTCGCAGTGAAAACTGCCCCCTTTCTCCTCTGCCGCATCACATCTTGTGCTTCAAGCAGCGGGCAGCTCAAGTCCCACTTCACCCACGTGGTCCTCTCTGATCGCCACAAGCCTCGTTTTGCCCTTCTGTGAAATTAAAAACCTTATAGTCTATATCAGACAGATTAGCATCTAATTGTATGCTGCATTTTTAGTGCCCTTTACTTATTTCCCATATAGTAATCTTATCCCAAACTGGAATATAACTTTCTAATAAAGGACAGTACGGTGTATGCTCTTTCTACCACAATGCTTCGCGTAATGCTGATGAGCACTTACTGACTTGGTCATTGATTTGGCAAAGGATTGTAAAGGGACTGGCATCAGATATGAAACGTCATTCTGGCTCCAGTGTGGAAAATGAAGGAAGGGGGAGCGAGCCGAGGGAAGCTGCTGTGGTGACCAGATGGGAGCTGATGACGGTGTGCACCAAGCAGGGTGGCCCAGGAGGACAGATACAGATGTTATAGAGCAGAAAGGAGAGAAAGTGATGACCAGTTAGAAACACAGTGCAGAGAATGAGAAAATTTAGGTTAGGGCAACTCTAGGGTACTTCCCCCCGAGTTCTAATCCCAACATCCCTATTTCCCCATCTCTAAATTAGGGGTGATAATAGCACCCACCTAATACGATTATTATAAACTTCAATGAAATAATAAAACGCCTGCACAGGGTAAGCACACAGTACAGATTAGCCATTATTACCACTGCCTTTACACACCTGCTGAAAAACATCCTCTTTGGGGTCACGTTTGGTCCCTGAGTGAAGGGTGTGCACATGGGTCCCCTCACTGTCACTGGTGACAGACGACCTGCACTCTGGGCCATGCAGCAGATCATCCCACAACATATCCTCAGTCTCTGAGTCATGGCGGGTGCTTTCTGAGTCCCTTCTCGACATATTGATGCTTTGAGAGCCACCACCACTCACACCGGATCTGGAGCCCTTTAAAGGAAAACAAAGATATTTTTCATTCACTTTTTAAAAACAATTACAGATATGAAATACAATTAAAAGAACTTATCTATGGTGATGGCAGGCAAGCTTTCCTAAGTCAATCACTATGTATTCATTTATTCACAAGGCTTCCACATAATAGTAATACATTTTAATATTTAAATGTCAAACTCTGATGACTGTAACAAGCAGGACTTTAAAACAACACTCTCAGGATCACTTTGTAAGTTATATAAAGGTCTAACCCCTATGCTGTACACCTGAAACTAGTATAAGATTAAATGTCAATTGTAATTGAAATTTTTAAAAATTTTTTCTTTAACTTTTCTAAAGTAAAAAAAAAAGTACCAGCATATATAGATATGATTGATTGATTGCTAAGTAGGCTCCCTTTAAGAAGTTATTGACAAGTCGGGATTGTTCAGCAAAATGTCCTGGGATGGAGTGGCTCCTGCAAGCACATCCAGAGGACCTGCCCTGGAGGTAAGCACAGATGAGCCTCTGACATACCCAGGTTCCCCTTCTCTAAATATTGTGAGCGGGACTATAGAGCTAGTCATGTCCAAGGCCTGCCAAACATGAGTAGCTGGCAGAGAAAAGGATGAACCGAGCAGCTCTCCTGCAGCACAAACATAAAGACAGACATTTTGCCACGACCCTGACTGCCCTGTCAGTCAAAACAGAAACCACACCACCACCATCTACTCTGCTCTCCCCTGAGTCATAATACCCCCAATGTACAGTATGCCCATTAGCTCTCAGGATGGGATTTTCTGCTCCCATCTCTCCGGGGTCCTTTCCCAAAAATCAGTCCTCGTCAGATTTAAACTCCGTATTTCAGGTGAACATTAAGCAAGCTTCTCATTATGTGAGGACTGAGGAACCTCTTTCTGAGCATCACCTATGATCCTTTTAAGATTAAGTCAAAATGGGCGGGGGCGGTTAGCAAAGGGTAAAGGGGGCCAATATGGTGATGGGAGATGAAACGACTTTGGGTGGTGGGTACACAATGCAATATACAGACCACGTATCATAGAAATGTACACTTGAAACCTATATAATCTTATTAACCAATGTCACCCCAATAAATTTAATTTAAAAATAGAATAAAAAAGTAAAAAAAACCAAAACACAAACAAAAAAAAAAGATTAAGTCAAGATGAAAAGAGTTCATTCTGTTTCTGGGGGTGAGCAGTCACATAGGAGCTGTTAGATAGGTGGACGCAGGAGAGGGGCAGGCAAATATAAACACCACTTTGGGACAACTCATTTAAAAAGGAATGAATGAAGTTATTACACTTGAGGATATGCCCTGAACAATGCTCTAACGGATTCATTACCTGGCTGAAAACTGCTGATTCAAATTCGGATTCGGCCAGACTATCTGAATCCCGCATAATATGACACCACTTGGCAGGGGTTTTTGTTACCTGCCAAAAATCAAGCCAGTGAACAATGGGGAAACATGTTAAACACTGTGTAACTATTCGATGATTTAGAAGTTAATGCCTAGATTTTTCTAAACTAAAATATAATTACCTGAGAGTTTATGTGCCTTGGAAGTATTGATTTCCTGTTCTTGACCTCACAGCCATTGTCACTGGAGGCCCCTTCCACACTCCGCCGTAGTATCATCATCTGTGTCCGGGCATCAGCATCTTCTTCACTTGACAGATCATCTGACATCCCGCTACACACACGCCTGCAGGCCTCCTACAAAGAGAACAGCAATTCCTTCCCAGGGGACAGCCCAAAATACTCTAGCAAGCTGCAGGTGTACACACAAGAAAGCATGTAAAAACTAGGAAACAGTAAAAAGTCAAATCAGCCAGAACTGAACAATCCGATACAGGGCTTGATCTCAATAAAGACAATTACTGAACCTGAAGCTAAACAGCCTAAGCAGTGAGGCAGTTACAAAGGGGTAAGAAGCACAGGCGCGAGTCAAACTCTAAGTCTGAATCACAAGCCATGTAACCTTAGGCACGTTGCTATCTTTCTGGGGCTCGGCCTCATCATCTGAAAAGCAATGATAACACAAGCAACTGTGACACGGGCTTGTTGAAACAAATGAAACGGGTTACTACATGTAAAGACTTAGAATAGTGCCCGGCTGTAGGAATGACACAAAAATATTAACTATCGTCGCATCTCTGGACTGCGACAGCCGCCTCAACACAACCTGTGGATGAGATCTACCACCCCACTGTGAGGCTGGGCCAGCAGCAGGTGCACTAACAACTCTAGCCCCAGAAACGGCACAAGTCTTATGTGACCATCCCCCTTTCCTGTCCTATGGGTTTACATGTCACTTATTGAAGACAAATTATACAAGCCTGTTAGCACCTATTTCACATCTGTAAGCAGGGTCTAAGGACGAAACATTTCCATGGGAAAGAAAAGATCTTGTTATATTTATATCCATCAAAATCTTACCCTACGGCGCTTCTCGCCATCTGAAAACTTTGCTTTCTCTGTCGTTGGCCATATTTTAATCTCTGGTTGCCCCTGTCTCTTCTTAATGATAGGACGCAGGTAACTGGTGTCATTGCTGGTTTCAGTCCCTTTGTTACATATTAATCTTACTGTTTTAGCCCTATTTTTTTAAAAGAAAAACAAGATCACTGACTAGTGTTCTGAAATTAACATCTTCCACGAAATCCAGTCAATTCTGGATTTTACTCTGAAAACCTAGAAAATTCAGAAATCATAATTTTTAGACTTCGCGCTTGCTGAGGGTAGAGAAAGACAATACAGTTATCTCTAGTCGCCAAAACTTGGGTCAGTTAATTGAAAGGAAGCTGCACTTTCCAGTTTTGCGAGGAAGCAGGTTCACAGTCTTCTCCGCTTTCTCCCCTCAAACACACCACCACCTCCCATCGCCTGTCTGTGACACTTTGTAGAATGCCCTCCCCTCTCCTGTCCCTCAAAGCCTGACAGCTCTCGGCTCCTGCACGACTCTTGCTGACTACTCCACTCTAGAATGATCGCTCCATCGCTGGACCACATGGCCTGCAGTGAGCATGCAATCCTTTACAATATTTGTACAGTGCTGTGAATGCACCCTACCTGCTACTCCTAACTAGACAGTAAAATCACTGAGAATGGACGTGCCCAGTGCCCAGCACAATGCTCAGTACAAAGAACTCACAGACATCAACTAAAGCGTGTAAATGTATCTTTGGAAAAATAGGTGAACATACTTCGTCTTCAAAACAGTAACTGTGAAAGAACTTTATTTTTGAGTGACACTCATTAATATACAACCAGTAAGTCTCTCTTTGAGTCATGCTAGTGCTGTCACAGCCTACAGACCTTGGAGGAGGAAGAATGTCTTGGACCAACTTCTCTTTCTGCCCCATAGCCCATCAACACCAGCTTCCTGTCCCACATCCCATTTCTAAGGCGGATCAGCTTTGACACTGAAAAATATCTTTTTCAAATCCTTCTTTCTCTCATGATGTTGGTTCACATGGCTTAAGATATTTACCCTTTAGAGTACTTTTATTTCTGTAATCTTGGGGTCTAAAAAGATCATTGAAGGTCAAACAGAGTGAAACATTTATGGAAGATTACTGAACTTACAGGTAACGTGACAGTGGGGACAGGCTGAGTAAGCAATTCTAGAGCCTTCCAAAATCACACTGTGATAACAGGCTTACACTAGGTACTCCTATGGCCTACTCAGATTTACACCATGTAAACACTAATGTAAAGACAAAATCAAATAAAAATTCCAAGGTAACACTTCCCACCTGTTGCCAAAGAGAGTCTCCCAAAAGCCACCAGTCAAGGGTATAGGTTCCACAGTTTCAACTCCTCTGCCTTTATCAGAGAAGTTACTTCCATTTTCTCGGCTCCCATCACCATTCACAGTTTTTCGTAATTTTCTATTAAAAAAAGTATTTCAACACTTCAGATTATTCAAGATCTTTTCTATTTCTGCCCAAGATATCCCCTCCAGAAAATTATCCTAACATACTACCACCTGAAATTAAGTATAATGAACTTTCACAGAATGAGGATAAGTGTGCAGGGACAGTTCTGACTTAAGGGCAAAAACAGGTCCCAAACCAAAGACCTGTGTTATCATCTTGTTCACTCATTAAAGGAATAGAACTGCTATTTTAAAACATTATAAGGAAAACAATTTTCACCATCTAATTTAGAGCCTGTTCAGGCACCATCAGCAGAAGGCACGATTCCTTTAACACAGGTGTCGGAAATCTACCCCATTTGGCACATTCAATCAGAACACAAGATAAGAGCAAATGGTCACTCAGTACTGCCCTCCAGCAGCCAACAGAGGCAGCCTAGGACCACCACCATGGCCCAGCCCAACATGCGAACCCTTCGTGGGCATTGATCACCTGAGCTGAATTCCCAAGGAATCTTCTTTTGGGGAAGAAAAGTGTGTTTTGAAAATAATACTCAAAAATAAGAATAAATATGTTGAAATTTAATGCAGCAAGTGAAAAAAAAATCATATTTATTAACTGCTTAGGGAAACAAAAATCTACAGATACTCTGAGGAAAAATACCACATATACCTAAGGAACCTTTGACGACTTCCAAGCCCGCACAGAGCACAGAACAGAGAAAAACATGACATGAAGCCTATGTGTAGAAAAGTCAAATCAACTTTTATTAAAAGTTTAGAACCCGTAGAAATCCCCTTATTATGCACTACTGAGAAAGGGTGAAACTTGTAGTAGCAGTAACCCACCTGTACTAAGATCCTTGCTTATAGTGAATTTTCACCAAATCTTAAGACTAGATTTTGAACAAGAACACTTGTTCAAAACCATTATTTGATCAATTTTAATAAGGAATAATATAGAACTAGTATAGGAATTTCCTTCTAAGCAACTGTACTGAATGACAAAATCCTGCCTGTGATGAAGGTTCATGGCAAGGTTTCTTAGCATCAGGGAGGAAAATGAAAAGCAAAGCTTTTTTTTTAAGCCCCAAAATAATAAAAATGTATGCAAATCGAAAGATTTTTCACTATTTTCATGACAGATTTTTCAGTATCTACCATGCCTCTCCCAGAAAAGTCACAACTACAAGTGCACGCTCCCATCTCACCTTCTCCTCCGGTTCCCATTGCTTCCTGATGGCCTTGCTATCTGAGTCGACACGATTTGACAGTGGACGGTTCCCATGAGTAACATAAGGCACAAGGGTCCAAGTACTTCACTTACATTCACAATAGGCATCATCAAATATAACACAAGTGCTATAACTGAAAAGAAGAGGTTTCAAAGTGTACAACATTAGGGGTCATCTTTAAAACCAATTCTAGTTAAGTACACAAATTATTTCTACAAATACCTATCATTTTAGAAAGTACCCAAGTAAAAGCACATGATTTCCTACCATATACTCTGCCTGCACGTTAGCTGAATAAAAACCAGGAGCCCTTTCTGGCAGTGTGATAACCCAAGAACCACCACCCAAGGGGACGGTTCAGAACATGTAGCCCAGACCTAGACCAGAGTGCATGAAACCTAATACATACAATTATCCAACACGAAAGACAGGAATTCTTCAATAACACACATGGAAAACACTTAGCTTTCCCCTTACAAGTGACCAAAGAAATGCACATTAAAGAAACAAAGTACTATTTTTTGTCTTAAATTAGGAACAATTTTTTAATTTATAATAATGCTGCTAAGACTATGGTAAAACAGGTACTCTCATCTACTAATTTCCAAAAGAATTGTGTCACCAGCAATTTCACTATAGGATGGGGCAAAAGTAGGTTTACAGTTGTTCAGATGGAAAACAATACAATAATTAATAAATAATACAAGAATAAACTTTCACGTACTCACAACTGTAAATCTACTTTTGCCCACCGTGTATGTACTAAAATCCTTAAAATGTTGACACTCTTTGGNTCTACTTTTGCCCACCCTGTATGTACTAAAATCCTTAAAATGTTGACACTCTTTGGTCTGTTGATTCTGTTTCAGAGAATAAATGCTAAAGAAATAACAAAATATGGAAGATTGTGTTCATGAGGGCAGTATTGAGAGAAAAAATCAGAACCAACCTAAATGCTCACAATTTGGAAACAGTTACATAAATTATAGATCCATAAAATTTTATATGATGGAGTAAAAAGGTGTTTACGGTAAATCCATATGCTAGACTATTATAAAGATGCTAACACGAGTTTTAAATGATGGTATGCCCATATAATGGAATATTATACAGCCATTAAAATGATAGTTATAAAGACTTAAGCACAATGAAATAACATTTAAAATGCAGGTCCTTATTCACAGGAACCACACTTTGAGTGCCCAGTAAGCTACTGCACTGGGCAGATACAGAACATTTCCATCATCACAGAAATTCCATTGGACAGCACTTGCCATGACTTTATAAAATTAAACTTACAGATTTGTAAATTCCTAATCTTTTTGTCATTTTATAACTTAAACAATTCAAAAAAAATCAACATAAGGAAAACAAAAAATCACCCTAATCCTTTCACCCAACTCAATGTTCACTACTCTTTGTTGTAATTCACGCCTTTTTGCACAGGTACAACCACAGTGTCCATGGAACGCTTTCAGAGAGTATCCCTGGTAGGCAACGGCAATACAGTGGTCAAGAGGATACACTGGGTCCCTGCACAGAGTGAGAAGAGGGAAAACACCGGGTAGTGGTGTGTAACAGAGAAATCAAAACAGGTTCCTGTGACAGTGACCAGAGAAGGGGAGGGCTGTTTAGAAAGTACACAGAGGATGGCCTCTCTACAAAGTTACATCTTTCATCTGCATTGAGAACTTAAAGATGAGAAAAAACAGCCATGTGAAAAGCCTTAAGATTATTTCAGAGAGAAAAGAAATGGGACTTGATGAAAATGCCCAGAGAAAAGAAGAGAATCCGGGATCCAGCCTTGAGGTAATCCAATACTCAAATATCAGACAGGAGACTACCGAGAAGCCCGGCCAGTGAGGCAGGTGAAAGACATTCAAGAGGAGAGTAAATAATTTTCAGACGATCTCCAAATGCTGCATGTCCCTTCATTTCTCTGTACTTTAAACCATCAAATGAAAGGGTAAACGTAAGGACAATAAGGTCTGCACCATCCAATAGCAAAAACAGCACAAAGAAATGGTCAGAACTTATTCCAACCCCTCCAATTACCTTGCATGAGGTAAAGCAGTAGCAGCCAAACGAAGATTCTTAAAGAGGTAACCTGAATCCACCAGTTGCTGAACAATGGGAAAAACACAACTCGAACGAGCCCCTTCCGAGTCAGAGATGTCCATGGAATTTCAGGTTTGGCTTTGGCAAATGTTGAGCCTTTAAACATACAATGAAAGAAACCATCAAACATTTACATACACTGTAGACTGATGCCCACTTGTAACACTCTATTAAAAACAGGTGAGAGCAAAAAGCAGCACACAAAAAAAGTCAGCATGTAGTCTGTTCAGTTAAAAAGAATGTACTAACTTACGTCTAAGAGGAATCTTAGATGTAATAACTTCTTGCCTCAATTATGAGGCAAGAAGCTCAAAATAAGTCAGGCTAACTTGAATGTTTTATAATACTGTATACTTGTCTTAAATACAAGCTCATCCCTCCCTCTTGACCCCTATGGTCACCAAGTAATTTGTGTAGCCACACGGTACTAAAGCAAAGGGGGGAAAATGCTAAAGCCTGAATGATGAGGTAGGAAGATTACTTTTGGAAATTTAAGTACATTATCACGTAGAGACAATATCTGAAAGTAATCTTCAGTACCACCATAAAATAATAATATATACGAGAAACCAACCAAGTTTAGAACTCACCTCTGATTAAGTCAACGTCAATCAAGTCTGGTTTTATGTGACCCATCTTTTTTGGTTTGTTTTTGAAGCCCTGGGATGAAACAAAACAAAAACAGAAATAAAAGGAAAAAGCCCTTTTAAATACAAAAGGTAAACTTATGTTTCTCTATATCTGACTCCCTCTTACTGGGGATGCTTAATCCTAATGCCTCTTAAAGAAACTTGTTATTAATACTTACTTTGTTTGAGCTTTCGGTTTTATTAAGGCATGCACGCACTTTTAAAAATAATTATAGTGCCAAAATATTAGTGAGGGAAAAACAGTAATTTCCTGACCCATCTCTCCTCCAAATTCCATTCATTAAAAATAAATAACTTTCATCTTTTTTTAGCTGTTTCTCTTGGTATTTACTTGCATACATCTAAATAATATGTGTATATTCCTGTTTTTTAATTTATTGATTTTAGAAATCATCTAATATATAGGTGGGACAAAAGTAGGTTTACAGTTGTGAGTACATAAAACACAGAGTGTATGCTTGTATTATTATTAATTACTGTGTTATTTTCCATACAAACAACTGTAAACCTACCTCTGCCCCACCCTGTATAGTCCTTTCGTGTAATTTTAGTGGTGACGCAATAGGGAGAGATTAAAAATGTGTGTGGCCAATCTACCACATTCAACCAGAAATCTAGTCATGAACATGTTTTCAAAGGAAAGACTCCTTTCAGCGCCTCTGTCTTCTACCATTTGAAATTAAAGGAGATTAACTTATGTTATTAAAGACTATATGCATTCCTATTCAACACTATATTCATGCCTCTAAAACAAATGCATGGACTTTCCAGAGTACATGTTATATCTCCAAGTTTTGAATGCTTCTTAAATTAATCATTATTTCTCCAAAGGCACTTACTCTATTTTATTAACATGTGGACAATGGTTTTTACAGAAAAAACTCAGGATTTAAAAGTCACAAAACCTTGCTGCATATTATTATGAATCAAAATAAATTTGTTCGTTATCTTTTATATATCCTGGTTTGCCTAACAGCTTTGTTTTATTGCTATTAATAAGCAAAACTGTTTTAAAAGATGAATTTTAATTTCATGCTCAATCAACATTTGTACATGCTAATTCCTGATCAAGTTTTTTAAATTAAATATTTAAATATTAAAATTAATGTAAAAATTAAAGATTACAGTAATTTACTATTTTTCCATTTAAGACATTGAGCCAGTATTGATCTTTAGCTCTGTTTCACTAAATAACTGCAACCTAACAATTTTAGTTGAATTGGATAGAAACTTGTTGGATAGAAATTGGATAGAAACAACTACAAACTATAACTTTTATCCAATTCAACTACACACTATAGATCTATTTCTATCCAATTCACCTATACTTCTATCCAATTCAACTATAAACTATAGATTTTACAGAAAAATATCCTAAAACCCTAAATGTAATAAAATTAGATATAAGAAATGAACATTTGAAAATTAGGTGTATCAGGGGAAAAATAACCCTCTGAAGAAACATGTACACTAATTTTTGAGTTATGCATACTATTCATGGGCATAACATTTATGTTATATTCAAAATCAGAATGAAAATTTAAAAAGTAAAAATATGACTGTATTGTATTCTAACAAACACGGGCCTTGTAGACATTTGCATCAAGTACTAATCTAACTAAAAAAGCTCAAAGTGCTTTAACTTTGGGGCCAAATTCATTTTTCTATTTTCTTTGCTTTCTAGAATTTTCACCTATAATGTTATAAAATTAAAATTAGCATTAACTAGGGATAAATACCAAACTATGAAAACCTCCCTTAGCAACCAACAGAAACGCATCCATTCATTCACTTAATCAACAAATATTCGACGTGTGTCCTCCATCGCCAGACTCTACTTGAGCCAGGAATACAGCAGTAAGCGAGTCGACACGGTTCTATCTTTGAAGGGTGCGCAGGACAGAAGGGGAGACACACAACTAAGGCAAACGTGTGGGGGTCTCAGGAAAATGTCCCACCAGCCCTCACCATTCTGTCTTTCCTAAGGGACTAGAAGTCATTGGTAAATTTATGAGCACTGATCTTGAGAGAGATGAGAAGGTCACTATATACTTTTGCATGTGTGTGTGTGTGCCGAGGAAAACACATGCCATGCTTTTGTTTCTGGACCCCTGTGCTTTGTCCTGCACATTCTACAGCAGGTGTGACAAGAGGAAACGTGCGCAGCACTTTCCAAACACTTATATTAACGTGCTCAGCACACAGGCCCTCACTACCCCGTGGGAGCAGTACTTTCATCGTGCTCCCTTTACAGATGAGGAAACCAAGGCATGGACATTCTAACCCAGCCACTCTCCTGCAAACCCCCAGACGCCCTGCCTCTCACCGCACGGTACACAGCACATCCCTAATCAATGCAGGGAGAGGTTTGGTTTGAGATCAGACAAGGTCACTTGCTCTGAAAGGTTCAATGAGATTACAGCCTGGGAGCTGGGAGTGAGTTTCCTAACTGGCCACCACGCTCCCCTAGCAGCCCAGGGAAAGTCTAGGGGAGATTCAGCATAGCCCTGCACTAGGAGCCAGAGTAGTGGTCTGCAAGTTCGCTGGCTGGATCCAGCCCTCTCCTGTTGGCCCGTTTAAAAAAATAATATAAATGGAGCAACTTTAAAATGGAGCCGGGGCTGCTACCCCAGAGGATCTGCCTTGCCTGTCTGCCTCCTCAAACCTTTGGAACGTGAGAACTGGCAATATCTTTGGGCTGGACCTAAACAACATTGTGTCCCAAAGAACTGTTTGCAAGGATAGCAAGAAAGTGCGTACTATGATCATCGGACTGAAAAGTAAAAACACTGTTTAGAATTAGCGTCACTGCGTTAGCTGATCTGTACCTATAGCATCGCCTTCCTTCTACTGATGTAACTGTTCCCCTTCCCGTTCTCATAAATACCCCCTTGCCTTTGCCTCCTAATTGGAACAGTATTTGGTTTCTGCCTGAATCAGTGCTTCCCAACTTGCTCTTTTTTAAAATCTGATATAAATGCTTGTTGCCTCTCCCTTCAGCCTTTTATTTTCAAGGTAATACCCCCAACATAACTGCAATGCCTGAACAATGTGGTTCCCACTTTTAGGCAGAGGGACAAAACCACTGGAGGTGCTGCTGGACTAGCGAACTCTATTTAACAGGGTATATAAAGGACCAGTGAAACCCTGCAACACATCTTGACCTCTTAGTGTGCCGAAATTTCCATTTTATCGCCATTAAAAGAACCAAACTACTATATAGCCAGGCAAAAAAGGAAGTCACTGCTGATTTAGTGCACATGCTGAACGAAACAACTACAAGGCAAGGACAGCACTATAGGAGCATGTCCAAAGGCCACCTACCTCAGGTTTAACAGTCAAAGGTTCCCAAAGGAAAATACCTGAGGCCTGAAGGATGTATAAGAATTTGCAACAGTAGACAGGAGTTGTGGCAAAGGGGGGAGCCAAGAAAAGCATAAGAAATAAGAGATAGCAGATGCAAAGTAAACGAATTTCGAGAAGGCCGCAAGCAGGGTGGAGGTGGAGATTATAATCAAGCTAAGAATGTGAATTTACTGGAAGGGTACTAGGAAGTCAGAGAAGAGTTTTAAATGGAAGAAAAACAATCAGATTTGTGTTAAAACACTAATAAGATCACAAAGAGCCAGCATCAGTGAGGGTGAGGGGAAACAAGACGCAGAGAAAACAAAGTTTAAAAAGCTACTCGAGCCCTGGCCACTTTGCTCAGTGGTTAGAGCATTAGCCTGCAGACTAGTGGTCCTGGGTTTGATGCCGGCCAAGGGCACGTACCTCAGTTGCAGGCTTTGCCCCAGTTGGGGCACGTGCAGGAGGCAGCCAATCTATGTGTCTCTCTCACATTGATGTTTCTCTCTCTCTCCCCCCCACTTCCACTCTCTCTGAAAAGCAATGGAAAAAATATCCTCAGGTGAGGGTTAAAAAAAAAAAGCTACTCCAGTCATCTAGATCAGAGTGGACAGCTTTTATCTGTAAGGGCCCAGGTGGTATTTCAGGCCCTGTGGGCTACTCGGTCTCCGTGGCAGCTACTCTACTCAGCTGCTGTTCCGGTCAAGCTGATGTAGACACAGACAATAAACACATAAAACACAGATCCTGCTGTGCTCCAGCAGATCTGGCCAGACCAGGTCATTAGCAGCATTAACTGGGTAAAGTACTTATGTTCAAAAGATATTAGGAGGTAGAATCCAGAACTTTAGGCTAATTGAAAATGTGGAATCGGTGTGAAGATGAAGCCACAGAAAAATTCCGAATCCCAACTTTAACACTCTAGCTACTCAACTAAAAGGAAAGACAAGAGAAGGGACAGGGCCATTCGCTCACATTCTTCCACTCACCAAGCCTGAAGTCCGAGGGAGGAATTCTCCTCCTACGGGAAGCACTACAAGTCACATGACAGCACAGCAATCTTCTTACAGGTAGGCAAGTGAATAATTAGGGAAACTAATACATATTTAAGTCTATCTGACTCCAAAGCTCATGCCTAAATGTTGGTGATTTGTTTTTGTTATTGGTATAAGTGAAAGATATTGGTATACCCACATACCCATATATTCATATACTTCTATAACCATCAATCTATCTGTTTATCTCAAATAGATCCCATATATCTATCTTATTATTCAGGTAATTTCATTTAATACATCTTCCATTTTTCAGAGGGGAAAATTTTATTTTTATTAAAATAATGCTTATATTAAAAAGCTAATAAAAAAAAAACTCCAACCTCACTCTTCCTTACCCTTGATTCCTACTTCTTGGTTATTTCTTCTTTTTAACTTCTAAATAAGACGTGTATCGTGTTTTGTTCACTTTTAGATGCTATTCATTCCTTTTTTATTGTTGAAGGTGAGGAGGCAGCTTTCTTATTCAGCCTTTCTGTGCCTTGGTTCCTTCACCTTTAAAGGGGTGAGGAATGTCCGGCCCACGGGCCGTATACAGCCCACAGAATCATTTGCTCTGGCCCTGCCAAGGCGGGTGCAGGCGGGACTTGAAATTCAATAAATCTAGGAGCTCATTTCACAGCTAATTTTTAAGTTGTTAATTTTGTATGGCCCAAGAATGATGCTATAAATATCCAAATGGCCCTTGGAAGAAAAAAGGTTCCCCATCCCTGACTGAATAAAATGGGAACAATAATACATCTACCTCATAGGATTGATGTAAAGATCAATTAAGAGTGTGCGTGTGTGTAGTACTTAGAGTACTGCCAGACACATACTACATGCTCAGTATTAATACGCCACCAAACACAAACACATGCCCCTCCTGAACTATAGTCTCCCCTATATAGTTTAATCACAATTTCAGTTAAATACATGTTTGCTGTTTTGAGTGTGAAGATTACATACTGTCCCCAGCTAAGCCAAATATAAACAATGATTACAGTTCCTCTCACAAATTTTGTTTGTCCGAGAATTGTAATTGCCTAATTTTTTTTCATTCACTTAATTTTATCCATATATTCTACTAACTCATAAAACTCCCAGTAAGAGTTACAAATCTGCTCCCAGTGCACTCCCACACCCCAAATGCTGCTTTCTTTCCCCCGAGACATCTAGGTCATAGCTCCCGTCCTCCTGCTCCACTGTGGTATGCTTCTCCAGGCCTGATGTGAGCTCATCCGAGGGCTTCTCTCCCTCTCCCTAGATCCCCTTTACACCTGTCAGCTGTCCTCTCTCCTGGTATTACGGTCCCTCTGTTTGGGCTGCTCTCTCACGTGTCCTCCCCGCCTTCTGAGAGAGGGCACGTGGGTGATGCATTTTTTTGAGACTTTGAAGGTCTCAATGTATCTTCATGCGGGGCCTTTACACCTGGTTAATAGTCAGGCCGGGCATAAAGTTTGAGGTTGAAAGTCATTGTGAGCTCCATGATTTTTGTTGTTTTTTTCAATCCTCACCTGAGGATATTTTTTCCATTGCTTTTCAGAGAGAGTGGAAGGGGGTAGGGGAGAGAGAGAAACATCGATGTGAGAGAGACACATTGATTGGTTGCCTCCCATACACACCCCGACCAGGACTGGGGTTTGAGCCTGCAACCGAGGTATGTCCCCTTGGCTGGAATCAAACCCGGGAACCGCCATAACCCTGACTTCAGAACATTAGAATATTTAACGCCCCCTCCCCTATTATAAATGAATATACTGGCACTCTGAACCACACATCCATTTTGGTTGGCTAGTTAGCATGAAATAACCCCAAGAGACTGCTCAGTTCTAACAGCACTGTAGAAAAAAAGTTGACTCTAAACCAATAATGGAAAAGGTGGTTCCGGCCACAAGTGGATTTTATTTGGCTTGCAGGGGAAGGGGAAGAGAAAGGGGAGGGGAGAGGTGGAGAAAGAGGGGAGGGAGGGGGCGTGGGTCTAAAATATCCAGATATTTCATATAAAAATACATATTCCCAGCTTCTCTTGAAAACTCTGAAGCTCTACACTGGGCCTACACCGGCACCAAGTAAAACTGGGCAGTGAAAAGGCCAGAGCTTGGTTTAACATGGGACATTTGCTTCCAGCGCATCACAGACCAGCCACTTCTTTCTATTTCCCCAATACCGAGGCCAAGAGTCAACTGCCGTCTCCCCTTCCGCTTGCAGCGCTGTTGGCCTCACCAACTCCAAACAATAAAGAACGCCATCCAGGATGGGAAAGGGCGGGTTTTTTGTGTTTTTTTTTAAGTTAAGTACAATCCTCTCTTGGCATTAACACAGTAAAACAAAGCTCGAATCCAAGAAATCAATTTACCTTAATCTGAGTCTGTTCGATTGACTTTTCCCATATCTGCTGATCATATGCTCCAATCTGAAACAAGGAGCAGGCTATTTAAACGGTGCAAAGGAAATGCTTTTCTTTAAGCTCAAACCTCACGAAAGCCGTAAGCTAGTTAAAACATCAATATGCTTCTCTGGAAAATGTCTGTGGCTGCTCAGAGTTCGAGTGAATTGAGGATCTGTGGTGACCCCCGGAAAACGTTTCCAGTTCTTAAGGGAAACTGGGGCGGGTACAAGGTGGGGGGCGCGGGGCTCGGCGCCGCCGCCCGCAGGGCCGTCGGAGCCCCGACGTCGGTTTCAGGTCTGAAACCGAGCCCTCTGGTCAGCAGCAAAGTTTCACAGCATTTCTGGGGCACTGTGGATGTGGCCTGAAGAAGGGGGGTGACTTGAACATCTCCCTGGGGGGCCTGGAACTGGCTTTAAAAGACCTAACAGCCTGGTCCACCAGCCCCTCCATGCACGTTGAGAAATCACCTCAGAACCCCCGGGGGAAACGAGCCCGACAGCTCCGCGGGAGCCCAGAGTGCGCTTTACCCGTGCCCGGCACCGGCATTACCTTCTTCTGGTACCACGAGATAGCATCTCTCTCACTCGAGGCCATCTGGGTCGCCAGCCTGAGCGCGGGGGGTCCCTGAAAGGGAAGAGGAGCCGGGCTGAGCGCGGCTGCCGCGGGTATCGCCCCGGTCCGGGCGGGACTCAAAAGCCGCTTCTCTCAGCCTCTCCCGGAGCCGCTCCGGTTCGCAGGCTGTGGGCCGCGAAAAAGAGAAACAAAGGAACCCGAACCGAGGCAAACCGCGCGGCCTGTGGCGCAGCGGCGGCCGCACAGGCGCCTCCGCGATGTTTTTACCCGAGCGTGTCCCCGGGCGCGGGGAACGGGGAGGGGAGGCGCCCGAGGGGACCTGCCACCTGCCCCCTC